TGAATGTGTTTCAAGAACACAACAAAGAGGCAAGCCCAACCATGATTGATTTTGTATTCAAGATCGTGGATAAAAGGAACAATATCATCTCTTTCATTTCTTTTCAAGTCATTCTTTTGGAGGATGATTTCATTGTTATAAGTGAGGCATCAAATGAGAAAATGGAAAAAAAGGTCAATAAGGATGTTTGATATCCGGTTTTTGATTCTTTTGATTAGTGAGTTGGCCCAACGTCTTGCTAGAGACGTTAAACACTAGTATTCGTAAAGTTTTCAACTCTATTCCTCTCCCATTTCTTTTTATTATTTATTTTTATTTTTCGTTTTTGTGTACATTCTTCTATTCATTTTTCAATCTTTATTTTTGTTACCATCATTGGGGTTTAGCATAAGATTTTCTGCACTTTCATGTTGAAAATGGACATTTTGTATTTGTTCAATCGATCTCAAAAAAAGTTCGATCGATCGAACTTTATACCTGCATCCAACCTGCATCCAATCACCTCTCTGTCCCATCGAGCGAAGAAAACCTGTATATTTCAGCTCTCTGTCCCATCGTTCGAACTTTATGTTCGATCGATCCAAGAGCCCTCATGATCGATTGAGATTCCATATTTAGAAAAATTTTCAAAGCACTGCAAATTTCATACTCTCTATCCCATCGTGCGAGCATAGATCGATCATGGTGTGATCGATCCAAGTCAAGATTGATCACAGCTTTACCCCTTTGACTTTTTGACTTTTTCTTCTTTCTATTATTTATTTTATTTTATTTATTTTCTTTTCTTTTACTTTTGTTATTTTATTTACTTACTTTTCTCTTGTTAAAAAAAAAAAAAAAAAAAAAAATTTATTTCTTTGTATTCTTTATTTCCTTTCATTTTTACTTCTTGCATTTTTATTTACTTACCTTTTTATTTTTTGTTTGTGTACATATTTGATATGTTTAAAAAAAATAAAATAAAAATAAAAAATAAAACAATCATTCAAAGTGGCATTCCGTCTTGCTAGAGACGTTAAACTTTGCAATCATTGTGCATATTTCTTTTATTTTGTTTCATTATACGTATTTTCAAAAAAAAAAAATTGCATCCCTTATTTCCTTATATTTTCATTTCTTGCATGTTTATTTGTTTTATTTTTGTGTGTGTGTATATACTTGTTATGTCATAAAAATAATAATAATAATAAAAAAATAAAATAAAATAAAAATGAAAAACAAAAAGTAAGAAAATTTTGTATATACTTGCATGGTATATATTATTTTTCATTTCTTGCATTATATATATTCTTTCATTACATTTTACCTTCTTTATTTTTCTTTTTATATTTTGTTCATACATTTTATTCTTTATTTTTGTTGCATTTCGTATATACTTGTTTTCATTAAATGAAAATATTAAAAAAAAGTTTCACCAATATGCCCTTATGTGTGTAGTCATGCATACTTTATGCTTTAGTTAAGGCTTGATCTCATATCTCTTTCATCTTATGCCATATTGCCTTAGAATGCATGATTTGATTATTCTTATCCCATTTAATATTTGATGTGAGTTTGCTAGTGTGGTTATTCAAGTAGGTTGTTGATTCCAAGTTTTGGGGAGCCATCTTTCGAATTGGATCATTGCCGAGCTTCATGTCCTTATCACCACGGTATACTCTTTTCATTTTTTCCATTGTTCTCATTGCATATTGAGGACAATGTGCGGTTTAAGTTTGGGGGTAAGGTGTCTTGTTGCATTCTACTTAAAGTTGAACTTTAAATGCATGATTGAGATTTGAGATCCATATTAGCGATGATTTTGATCTTTTGAGAACCATCTTGCTTAAAATTTAAAAATTGCTTGACTTGAGAGTCCAATACTCCTTGTATGCCTTGTGGATGCCATTTAGGAGTAAATTTTTCGAAAAATTGATATCTTACTTGCACTTGTGGTCCACATCATCCTGATTTTGTGATTGTTTTGAGATTCACTCTAAGATTCTACACTAGCACAGGCACACACTAGCATTCATTTGTGGGGTACATGCTTTGTTGATTATTGATTTGGTTATATCCCAATTGGGCTAGTAGTACATTGAAAGCTTTAATTTTGACAAAAGTGGATAACAATCCCTTTTCATTGAGTAGCCGGGATTCTAGCCTCATCAAGCACTGAATTTCTTGCGCTGAAAGGTGGAGGGCCCAAACTCTAGGTTAATAATTGAATACAAAAAAAAAAAAAAAAAAAAAAAAAAAGAAGAAAAGAAAAAGAAAAAGTTGCAAAAGTAATAAAAAAGTGAGGACTTTTCCCAAAATGTGAGAAGTGGGAAATGATTAGATGGAGGTTGTTTTGATTTGTAGCATAGTTGATTTGAGCTTGTAAGTCCGTAGGGGTGTTTGAACACCTAGTGCCCTAAAGCCATCTAGTTTGGGAGTCATTGACCTAACGCTCGGCCTTATGAATCACTAAAAAGCTTAAGAGATCACAACATTGCACCATACTTCCATTTTTGATCCTAAAAAAAAAAAAAAAAAAAAAAAAAAAAAAAAAAAAAAAAAAGAAAAAGGTGTGAAAAGAATAAGCGCACCTAGATCAATAAGCTTTAATAAAAGGTCTACCTTTTGTTTTGATGATTGGTACTAGATTTGTGTGCTAGTTTGAGGGTAAGGATGTGATCATTTCTTTAGTTGGCTAAGATAGCAACATATTTGATGCCGGTCTACTCAAAAAGGATTCTAGAGTTGTTTTGAATTGCATGATCATTTTCTTGATGTGTGGAGGACCATATTTGCTTGCTTGATGTTGAGATTTTGGGAGATTGCTTGGAAATGGTTGAAAAATTGCATACTTGAGATAGTTTTCTCCCAATGCTTGTTTGCAATATTGGTGCCTCTTTTGAAAGAATAAGCTTAATGTTTGTGGGTATCATTTCTGGAACACGAGACTTCACTCATCCACTAGGGTTAACCTAGGGGTTTAAAAGGCTTGTTACATATGCTAAGTGCAATCGTGTTCCCTACAAAAGTGGTGTTATCCATTTATTGCTTTCTAGTTCATAGTTAATTAGTTGTTCATTTCATTCCTTTACTTCGTAGTTCATTACTAGGGATTAGCAATATTTAAGTTTGGGGGTGTGATGAGCGCTGAAAAGTGCGCATTTAAATCCCTTAAACTTGAGTGTTCTAGGATCTTTATCTATCTTATTTTCCCATTTTAGTACTTATTTGTGTTTTTGTCTATTTCAGGTCAATAATGTTAAAATGGGCTAAAAATGGTTTCTTACAACCTTTTTGGAGTCAAACGAAGCTTTAGTGAGAATTTGGAGTGAAAGGAGGCTGATGCTGAAAATTTGCCAAGTTGGATCCATCCAACTTATTTCTGAGATCAATCGAAGTTGGATTGATCGAACCAGATCGATCAAAAGTTGGATCGATCGAACTTTCTTTAATCGAAAATAAAAGTTGGATCGATCGAACTTTCTCTAATCGAAAATAAAAGTTGGATCGATCGAACTGTTCGTGAAAGTTATTAAAAAGCAGATCTGAATCTCATTTCACCCTAACTCAGGCAGAGCTTGTAAGGGGTGATTCTAGGGCCAAGTTCTCACATTTTTGGGCTCCCAAAGCCTTATATATATGAGGGATTAAACCATTTTTATTGAGAGATTCATATTTTTACATTGTAATTTCTATATTCTCTCTCTAGAAAATTAGAGATTAGGGTTAGAAGAAAAGAGGGAAGTGGAGGCACATTTGCAAAAACCATCTCTAAACCCACACACTCTCTCTCTTTAGAGCTTTAAAGAATAAGAAGAAGAAGAGGAAGAAGAAGATGGAGCCATGTTTGGAGCTTGCCCCCCTTGAGGGTTTCATGACCACATCCACCTCCTCCATGATTGGCTAGATCTACACTTAGGGCTTGGATGAGCCCTAAGTCTTGTGTAATCTAAACCCTTGTGTTTCTATTTTTGGGGATTTATATATATATTGTTGTGATTAGTGTTCTAGTCTTGTGAATTTAATGAATCTTGGTCTATTTTTATGATTTCTATGGTTTACTTCTTCCTATTAATTCTCTAGTTTATTTACATGTCTATGTGTAATTAAATTAGGAATTATGTCTCACATGATTCATATATTTTAATTCTTCCTATTGATTCTCTATATAATTACATGTTGTCTTATGTGTAGTTATTTAGGAATTAATCTCTACACTAGTTTTTCTATATTAATTTCATGTCTATGTGTGGTTGATTAAGAATCTAGTGATGGCTAGATATGGTTTTTATTAGATGAGTTTGTCAATTAATTTGATAGTTTATACTTATGTTTGATGGGTTGTTCTACAATTTAATTCATGTTTGTAGGTAGGTATACAATCTATACTTGCTTTGATATTTCATGGCTTATTATTGCAAATTCCATGATTCTCTAGATTGATGTGTGCTACAATTGTTACTAATTTGATGGGTCATGCTTAAAATTGATGGGTTGTGCTACACCTAGTTTAGGTAGACAATTCATTCTTTAATTTGATGGTCCATGCTTAATATTGCAATTGATAATCGCATTTTGTTCACAACAATGTATTCCCCATTAATGGAAAGCAAGTGGTTAATTACACGAGCTTAGTGGTGATTCCAACACGCTAAGTCCTCTCTTCATATCTCTTAAATCCCTATCTCTCATTAGTTTACTTTATTTGCATTTTAATTAATTGCATTTTAGTGTAATCAACCAATCAACCTTCTTTTGCAATCTTTTGATACGCTAAAGTCGAAGTTAAATTCTAACACGTATAATCTCTATGGATGATCCCTACTTGCTATTCTTCATTAGTTGTAGTAGTGATTTTTATAAATTTAAATTTGACTAGAAAAGCTTCCTAAACCACATTCATATTTTGACCTTGCGAAGCGACCTCTCGCATTAAAAAATTCATTTTCTAAGCACTTGGAAAGGGGCTCGTCACTGTAGTTATAGAGCCTGAAGTGAATCAATGGAAACCAAGGTTAAAAATGGAGTTTGATACGGAACAAGAGGCATACAAATTTTATAATGCATATGGGGGTAGAGTTGGATTTAGCATCTGGAGGGAGTATTTTAATAATAGCCGTAAAACTGGGAAATTTTTAACGAGGTTGTTTACTTGTTGCAAGGAGGGTGTTAGGAAGAAGGATAGAAGGGACAAACATGCAAAGACTCCACGAGCTAAAACGAGAACTGGTTATGGTGCACGAATGCATATTAAATATGATGAAGCAAAGGGAAAGTACTTTGTTGATAATTTTGTAGATAGTCACAACCATCCCTTGATAATTGATGAATGCACCCACATGATGCCGTCGCAGAGTCCAGGCCATTGATGTGGACTTGGCTTCAGATTCAAGAATTGCAGCTCTTAATTCATATGAGTTAATGGCAAGGCAAGCTGGTTGTAAAGAATCAGTTGGATACATTAAGCTGGACCAACAAAATTATATAAGGACCCGTAGACAGAATGAGCTTCAATATGGTGAGGCAGCATGGCTCACCAATTATTTTGTCACTCATGCTTGTGATGATCCTTCATTTTTCTATGCCTTACAGTTTGATGCTGAATAGATGATAACCAATATATTCTGGGTAGATCTTAAAATGATAACTTATTATGGCCATTTTGGAGATGTTGTAACTTTCGACACTACGTACAAACTTGTACATGGCAACCATCCCTTTGCATTGTTTTTGGGTGTTAATCAACATCGGGAGACGGCTGTATTTGGGGCAGCCCTTATGTATGATGAGATGGCAGATTCTTTTGTGTGGTTATTTGATACTTTTTTGAAAGCGATGTCCGGAAAGACACCAAAGACAATTTTGATTGATCAAGATGCAACAATGGTGAAGGCTTTGATGCAGGTAACTTGAATTAAGATCTCCACTCCTTTTCATATACTAAAAATACCTGTAATGCCTAATTAATACAATGAAGTAAATAATAGGAAAATGTTTATTATTCTAACATATCCTTTATTGTGATTATAGTTGAAGCATTTATGTACACATAATGATTGTATGGGGAAGTACATGAAGGATGTGGTAATAGATGATTAATGATTTTAATAAGCGTCTAAACGCAAATGTATTTTCCTGTAGTTGGATAAATTGGAAACAACCAATAATATGACAAAATAAGAATAAAATATTTATTTTATATGTGTTTTCCTACTATACCTACAAATTGGTTGCTAGGTTTGATTAAATTTAAATGCATTTAATGACCCATACGTGTTGTTAGAACAAAGTTGGAGTTTAAAAATATTACACTGTGTTGGAATATTAGAATTTGGTGTTTAGGGTTTATTTTAAATGTCATGACTCAAACATGATTTTATGTTTTAGGTCATGCCTGGTACAAAACATCATCTATGTACGTGGCATCTAATGCAAAATGCACAAAAGCATGTTGGGTTCTTGTTTAAACGTGATGAACGCATAAAAAATGTGATATCTAAATTAATGTTCGAAATTGAGGTGAAGGAACAATTTATGTCAGAATGGGATTCAATGCTAAAGGTGTATGATCTTGTTGGTAACACATGACTTGAGCATTTGTTTAGCTTGAGACATAGATGGGCCATGGCATTCGTTAAATATACGCGGTGTGTGGGAATGCACACTACGTAATTGAGTGAAAGTTTCAATGCTCACTTGAAGGAATACTTATTGAGGCAACTCATTCTTCCTGATTTCTTCACCCATTTTGATAGGTTGTTGTCAGATAAGCGTTACAAGGAGTATGAAGCCGAGTACCGTTTGCTGCAGAGGCTTCCGCAAGTTAAATCAAAGTGTCACATATTACTTAAAGCGGGGAGACATACACAAAAGTTATATTTCAGCTTTTCTAGGAAGAGTTTTTAATAGCTTGTGTGAGTGATAATGTTAATAGTTGCAGTGACATGGATAACAATGGACAACGTGTTTATAAAGTTACTAGTTGTAATGGGATGCAACGTTCTGTAACTAGAACAGTTGAGGATGAATTATCTCATTTATATGGTAAATTTGAAATGAATGGATTTTTATGCAGTCATATTTTAAAAATCCTTAAGGCTTGTATGAACATCACTGAATTGCCTTCTCGATATATATTAAGAAGGTGGACTAGGAAAGCTAGAGATGGGAACTTGGATGAGATTCTTGGCTATGAAGTGTTGATGGATCCTAAACTTGAGGTAACACGACGACACAGGACCCTTTGTCATATTTTTACCGAAATATCTTCAATTGCATCGGAAGACAACGAGGGATACAATGATTTATTAGTAAAAGCAATGGAATGGAAAAAATCTGCCCAAAGAAGTTGTAGTCGTACTTTGGTTGGCAGTAGAAAGGCTGGTAAAAAGCAGAATAATGGGGAGATAAAAAACAGTGGAATAATTCCCATGGGCATCAAGACGAAAGATACATCTAAAGGACAAATGAGTAGACGCAAATCTCCCATTGAGGAAAATGCCAAGAAGAAGAGCAGGTGTATGAAAAGAATAGTTAAGGTATTTACCAAAAGTTTTTAGTTTACTTTTCATATTGTACTTACATTATTGTGGTCCTTGTTTTACATTAATGTTGTGGATTTATTTGTCATTTCTGGTTGTGTACTGAATCGAATAAAATTTGAATTTTATTGTGTTTTAGAAAGTGAATGATAGCAAGGTCTCTGGAGTGGGAGGTGGCAGTTGTAGTCAAACATATCTATTAGTCGATGTTAGTATTGTTACGACTATATCATATCCAACACTTAATTTTCGTAATAGTTGTGCAATTCGTTAATTTTGTTTACAAGTTTACTGTAACCTAATAGAAGTACACAATTTTTGTTGAAGGGCAATGAAAATTCAACTGAATGTGTACATCATCAATGTTACATGCCACCACCACCTATAATGCATAATAGGCAGGCTTTCCAACCTTCGTATAGCCTCGCTATTCATTTTCCGCAACCCATTACTCTATTAAGTAACCAGGTAATTATGTTGAATCAATTGCCTTGTATTAGTGGAACACGCTTTCTAGATTTAATCCCCATAATTTCTAATGAACACTATAAAATGTTGCAGAGTTCTATTGGTGATTCACAGTTGTTTTCATCTGAACTATTTAGTACTCATTCTTCGTATGGCGAATCATGCAAGGCTAATTTGGGAAGTCAAATGGTATATATTTTTTAATATGATTTGTTAACCAAATCAATATTATTATCTGTTATGAGTTATTTCTTTATTTTATTTCTTTCCATGGTCATAAATAAAGACACTTGCTCCCAACCTCGGGCAATTGACTTCCACTGAAATGTCGCAGCTGCCAAACTCAGAGATTAGTCTTCCAATTCAACAACAATTGTTCAAATATTGAGTAAGCAATGTTTATGTATTTTACTTTATCCATGTCGACTTCATCTAATTCTCTGCCACTGTATCGAAAAGATAATTTTAAATTACATACATCTCTAATTGGGCTAACCAATGACTGTGGTATCTGCAGCAAGAAAACAAAAGAGGGAGCTTTTGGTTTTCTAAATTTTTGAATGAATTCGTCTTCCATAGTTAAGTGCAATTTGGCGTTGGTACTACCTTTAAATGGGAATTGGGTTGTATGGATGAAGTTTGTATATACTTCCTAGTTTGGTAGGTTAGCATAGTTAAGTTGCACCGGAGGAATTTATATTTTTGTTATTTGCAAATTGTTATAAACAAATTTATGTATTTGTGGATATATGCATTTGGCAATTATGGTAAACTACTGGTTTTTTTGCTTTCACTTTTCACAAGTAAATGTATAATTTTGCAAATGATGTTTCCTAACATTTTCATACCGTGCATCTCAACACACAAACTTGCTGCATCCCAACATTTTCCCAAATTGTATCCCAAATTATCCTGACCAGCTGGGACAGATGTATTGTTACATTAAATAGAATAAGTGGCGGACTAAACTTTCGGCTGACTCACTATTTTGTGAAATTAAGTCTTTAGTTTTGATGTTCATATATACTAAATTCAATATTCTCTCACCTATTATGATAATTACATACATCACTACTCAAACTGAATTGTGTAAATCAATGTTTTCCAGCTAGGTCATACAGATGTATTGTTGATAAGTGGCAGAGTAAACTTTCGGCCCTCTCAGTATACTAACATGGAAGTGTGACGTTCATAGTTAAATCACTACTTAAACTAGATTCTCTAAAAGTTAACTTGATCATAACATCACACTAACTAAACTTTCGCAACAGTACATTCAGTCAAGGGTTTGGTAAAAAACAAAAACATAAATTCATAAGCAATACATAGGTGTATGAAGGTCTTCAAATATGATTCATTTTCATCATATCACAACTGTTAATGACAAAATAATTTGATTCAGTGCGTTACCAAAATTTACTAAAGTGATCCCAAGTTTGTCCGTATTAGAATCCCAAAATTGGCAAACATTAGGATCCAAATAATTTCGTATGATGAATCCTAACATTTTCATACTGTGCATCTCAACACATAAACTTGCTGTATCCCAACATTTTCCCAAGTTGTATCCCAAATTACCCTGACCAACTGGGACAGATGTATTGTTGTATTAAATAGAATAAGTGGCGGACTAAACTTTCGGCTGACTCACTATATTTTGAAATTAAGTCTTTAGTTTTGATGTTCATATATACTAAATTCAATATTCTCTCACCCACTATGATAATTACATACATCACTAGTCAATCAAACTGAATTGTGTAAATCAATGTTTTCCAGCTGGGTCATACAGATATATTGTTGATAAGTGGTAGAGTAAACTTTCGGCCATCTCAGTATACTGACATGGAAGTGTGACGTTCATAGTTAAATCACTACTTAAACTAGATTCTCTAAAAGTTTACTTGATCATAACATCACACTAACTAAACATTTGCAACAGTACATTCAGTTAGGGGTTTGGTGAAAAACGAAAACACAAATTCATAAGCAATACATAGGTGTATGAAGGTCTTCAAATATGATTCATTTTCATCATATCACAACTATTAATGACATAATAATTTGATTCAGTGCGTCACCAAAATTTACTAAAGTGTATCCCAAGTTTGTCCGTACTAGAATCCCAAAATTGGCAAACATTAGGATCCAAATAATTTCGTATGATGAATCCTATCATTTTCATACTGTGCATCGCAACACACAAAATTGCTGCATCCTAACATTTTCCTAAGTTGTATCCCAAATTATCCTCACCAGCTAGGACAGATGTATTGTTGCATTAAATAGAATAAGTGGCGGACTAATCATCAGAAGTTTCAACATTATAAAGAGATTACAATAACATCACTAATTGCTGGTCATATCAACAACCACCAACATCAGAACTTTCAACATTATAAAAGCAAACATACTCAGCAAGGAAATGTTCTACTATAACTAAATTATCAAACATGTTCTCAGCAAGCTCAACCAATAAAGGAAGAGGGGGAAGAGGAGCATGGGGTAACCACCCCCTTCCTGCTCAGATCTCCCATCCACCAATTTTCCCTCATCCTCCTCCAACAAGGTCGCAATTGGTTATGCGTTTGGACAACCTTACTGCAGAAGTGGGCAACCTAATTGCAAATATGGGCAACCTGATTGCAGAAGTGGCCAACCTTACTGCAGAAATGGGTCAGATGAAAAATCACTTGAGGGTTTTACACAGACGTGTGCGCTACCTTCAGAGGGTAGGCAACGACTCTAATGTCACCGAGGTTGTTCCTGTTGCCGATTTAAGTTCCTCATCCAGCTCCTATTCTTTCTGAAGGATAAGGAGACTTGGTCTAGTGGACCCTTTTGTAGTTCCTTTTGGGAACTTAGGTCCCTCTGTCGAACCTTTCTACTACCTTTTGTAGTTTACTTTTGCAATTTAGGTCCAAATGTGGAAGATTTGTACTACCTTGTGTAGTTCTGTTTCAAGTATCAAAAGCTCTTTTCATGGACCTTATGTATGTATTTACTTTCAGTACATGTTTACTTTGCAATGTTATAATTTCGTATGATGAATCCAAACATTTCTCTACTGTGCATCCCAACACAAAAACTTTCGGCTAACTCATTATATAGTGAAATCAAGTCTTTAGTTTTGATCTGCATACTAAATTCAATATTTTGTAGTAATAAATATTCTCTCACCCACTATGATAATTACATACATCACTAGTCAAACTGAATTGTGTAAATCAATGTTTTGCAGCTGGGATAGACAGATGTATTGTTGATGTATTGTTTTGCAGCTGGAAGTTTGACGTTCATAGTTAAATCACTACATAAACTAGATTCTCTAAAAGTTAATTTGATCACAGCATCACACTAACTAGTTCATTGCAACATTTCGTATTCAGTTACGTATGTATGAAGGTTTTAAAGTATAATCCATTTTCATCATATCACAACTGCTAATCACATATTATTTTTGGATACACGTCATCAAAAATATTCCTACCTCGCATCCCAACATTTTTCTAGTGTAAATTCCAACATTTTCGTACCTTGCATCCTAACATTTTCCTAGTATAAATCCCAATATTTTCCTACCTTGCATCCTAACATTTTCCTAGTGTAAATCCCAACATTTTCCTATCTTGCATTCAAAGTCATTTTCCTAGTAAGTACTTCATTGCATCAGTACTTTCACTTGGGACTTGCATCAGTACTTTCACCTATATATATATATATACTGCCATTATAACCGTTTGTAAACTTTGTTACCATTGAAAACACCTGTACGTCAAAATCCCTTATATATAGGTACAAAATTATCTCCTTTCACATACCAACTTCTATTTTCCTTAGTCTTCTAAATATATGTGTCTTCCATGGCTTCATCAACCAACAGTGGTGGTCATCCAAGAACTGTAAGTGCAAGTCTCTATTGCAACAAAAGACATGCCTACTCCATTGTTTTCGTCTATTATTTATACATATTTGTTATATATGGTTATATATTTTTTCACTATGCATTTGAATACCTGGGATAGGTTACTTCCGGTGAGTTTAGAGGCCTAAGTTATGCAATTAAATATTATGGGTGTGGAGAAAAAGCAGGCGTTAGAATTACAGAGAAAGGGAAGAACACAGGGAAGCTGTATTATGTATGTCATCATCCACAAAAAGTATGCGGCTTTTGGGAGTGGTGCTACCCTATTTCATCCAATATCACTGAAATGGTAACTCGACCACAGCACCTACCATTGGATGAAGGAATGACCGGGTATGATAATTTGGTGGAAGGTGTTGATAAAATTAAATATGAAATTGGACAACTTGCAACAAGTGTAAGAGTAATTGAAGCAACACATGAATTTGTTAAGCTACTAACTAGGGTAACACTTTTTATGAGTGTTTTAGCTTTTCTAGTATCTCTGTTTGCTTTATGTAAACTTTAGCTGATGAAAGGTTAATTTTCTAGTATCTCTGACTCAATATTAATGAAATTTAGTTGAATGATGTGTAAAATAGTAAAAAACATAGCATGCTATCATCTCATCTGATATGTCAAGCAAGAGTCACTTTTTATTCATACGACATCTAGAACAAGAAAATTTAAAGTGCTTATCATTGTTAACATCTCCACTACACAAAAGACATCCAGCATAAAAAAATATTAAAGTGCTTATCATTGGTAACATCACCACTACAGAAAATAATGTCTCATAGTCATTACAAATTGCCACATGTATAATAGAAGCGAAATAAGAGAAATGCTTCATTCAAAAGACATCCAGCAAAAAAATAAAATAAAAGTTTACAAGTACTAAATTTGTACATCGTTGGTAACATTTACATTACACAAAGCAACATGTCACGCTTCCTTCAATATACATCCAAAACAGCAAAAATTAAAGTTCACAGTTAGCAAATACACCACCATAAATAACACCAAGTACTACGACAACACAAGAGTCGCCCGAGCATGAAAACCTGAAAATGTTAGGGACATAACTTTGTAAATGGTTAGAAACAGAAGAAAAAGTTATCAGCATGCAGTAAGTTAAAAGTAGGACAAATTCTGGACTGTAACGCAACTAACTCTGTCAAATTATGCAAGTGCCAGTCTGTACAATTTTATTCGTCTTTCATTCAGTGAATTATCCAACAATTTCAACAGAAACTCCGAACGCATTAACTTTGGCTTTTTCTATATCATTAATTTAATTGGTATAATTATTTGTTTAATGTTCTTACATTTAGGGGGTAAAAAAATATATTACATTAAACTTACTTTCAAGTTCTTGGATAATTTTTTGCCATCCCATAATTCCATGAACTTCATTACGAATATGCCACAAGATGTCCTAAAATATTCACAAAATGAAAAATATCTACTTACGTAATAATAGTAAGATGCTGTGAATACTTTATAATTTAAATTTCTACTTTTGTGTAATTTAGTATACATACGCATCAGTTTGTTTCAGGATTTTCACAGGAATCCTCACTAAGTATTTTGACCACTCTTTGCCACAAGCAACCTCCACGAACTCTTTATGTCGTACAAACATAATCATTTTGTAAGTATAGTAAATAACTATAAATAAATGACAAATGTAACACAAATATGAATGGGCGTTTACCACACATAAGGCATATTGCTTGTATACGTGGGGTGTTCCTTTTGAACAAATGTAATCAATCTTCTTCTCCGGATGGTTTACCACCAACAAAAACCAGTGACTTTTTTATGCATGAAGGAAAGCATACCTGCATCAAGGTGAACATACGGTTAAGTGATTATAATAAAAATGGGGTTTTGTCACTCAATATAAAATAATACAAGCAAAATCACTAACCATATCTCTACTGGTAAATATAGCCAAATCAGTTTTAAAGATTCTGTTGTAATCTTCCCATACCTTTCTTAGGACAACCTTGCATTTTTCAGCTGATTTCAACACCACAACTCCGCTGTTATCCATGAATTGTATAGCATTGCTATTCAGAAAGAATTTTCTGGCACATTCTCCTTGGGTATTATTCAAATAATTTCCCCAAAAATTTATAACCTAGTATAATAAAATAATAAATAATAGTTGCCGAAATTTTTTAAACAATAAACCTGCCATGGAGGGTAAAACAAAAATATTCAAACAAATCATCTACTCACAGCACTAGAAACAAGGTTGGGTTCGAACAAAGTTACCATATCATATCGAAACAGGTCTTGGCCATACATCACCACCAATGTTTCACTAATAAAATGAATGACAAGTTGTAAATAAAATTTAAACATATAAGACACTTTATGCTGTCCAAAACAAAAAAAAAAAAAAAAAAAAAAAAAAAAAAAAAAAAAAAAAAAAAAAAAATTATTTAATAATAAAATGAAACTAGTTTTAAACATATAAGACACTTTATGTTGTCCAAAATAATTTTTAACACTTACCAATCTTCATAGCCAGTAGCTGCAACATAACTTAACATTTTGGTCTGGTCTTTTTTGAGTTAAATATTTTTACCATCTTGAATGGCCCAAGGAGAGAATGAATATGGTCCGGGCTTTAATATCCTAGTGCTTCTTCCATACTTTTTAATATTTTCAGCAACTTCAGAGTCTGATACTGCAACTGGAAAATGGGATGGTGTACCACTTCGCTCAAATTCTGTGTTGGGAGGGGATTCAGTTACTCTTTCATGTACGGGAAATGTCACAGCAGGGATTGTCGCAACTGATACCTGAGTTATGATTTGAGTAACAGTAGGAATTTGTATGAAAAAACAGTAGGTTTGAATAAAAAAAAACCTTCTATTCTCAGTCAAATTACTAAAAAACTAATGGTCTACTGTGCCTTCTGCTGATTCTAATAGATTAAAAAATCTTATAATGAGAAGTACCTAGTCAAAAATATCCTAAATAAATTGTTAGTATGTTGAAGACCTGTCATAATCATAGGACTTTGACAGAAGGTTTCGTTATTATATAATGTCATTACTCTTACATTTCTATTTTCTGCTATAATTTAAAAATTAGAATGATATAAACTGTTTTTTAAGTTACCACAGCTAATATACAATAATAATCACAATTCAAGCTTAAATATACAATAATAATCACATAATAGGTAATAAAGAACCAAATCAAAGCAAATAAAAAGTAACAATCTTACAGGAACACTGGTGGAAACAGCATCATTCTGAACAGCCTCTTGATCCATAACTAATCTCTCTTCCTTACTGGGCATTGGGTCGTCGTCCTACCATAAGCTTAAGAGTGTGCATTAAGGCGAGGGCCAAGAGTTTTACATTTATAGAAGCCACTACTACCTTTCACTATAAATATAGCTAGGGCGAGTTAGGATCGTCCCAAGGGATTGGAGTCGGAGTTGATTATGGAATCGCTCTAAGGGTTAGTAGGTCGAGTGATCAAACAATTAATTGGTTGGTTGATTAGATTAGAGAGTAACTAAATTAAACTAAGTAATTGAATGCAATGAAGAGTAAGGAAGAGAGAGAAGAGTCTTGGGGTTTAGAGATCACCACCAAGCAATGCATTCCTATATCATTGACAAGTGACTAATGAGGGCAATAAGTGTGTTGCAATATTGGTGTGTGTGTGTATTTGGTTGATTCAACAAGTAAGGATGACTAGTTAAGCATGTATTGTCTAAACATCATGTGAAAGGCACAATATATCTAAGCGATGAAGCATATATTGTCTAAACAACATGTGGAAGGCACAATAGATCAAAATAAGTCATTAATTCTTTCATTAAGCTCACAATCCAAATACAACACAAGGATAGAGACATATGCTACTTGCATTCAA